GAAATAGTATGGTGGTTAGGTCTTTAAGTTGTGATTGGTGATTTTGTTTAGTTTGTTGGTGGTCCGTTTTTTCTTTCTCCATTTCGGTTGCTAATTTTGCTTTTTCTTCCTCGGACTGCTTGTTTTCTTCTTGGAGGTCAATTATTTTTCAGTGAGATTGGTTAACATTTTCGGACAGGATTTTAATTTGATTTTCTAATTTTTCTTTTTCTTGCTCTAAAATTTTTAGTTTGCTTTCTAAGCGAGCGATTTTTTTAGTTTGCTCGGCTGCTTCGGTTTTGGCGGTTTTTAACTTACTCTTGGTTTCATTTGCTCTCTTTTCTAATCAGTTGATTAAATTTTCTTTTTCGGCAATTTCTTCTTCTAGTTCTATTCTATAATTGGCTTTTTCTCTTTCGGGATGTTTCACTTTTGCCATTAGTTCGGGATGGGCTAATTGTCAAGCATAAATATCATAGTCAAAAGGACGAAGTTGGTCTTGAAATGCGGTTCCGTCACAACCAAAATAAGTAAGTTTTGCAGCCGGCAAATATTCTAAACCTCCTTTTATATTTGGTTGATAGCCAATACATAAATACTCTAAATCTTTACAATTTTTGAGGGCTTTTAGAGAACCGGAAAAATTGTTATTTTTTTGAGGGTTAGAGTATCATCCTTTATCATAATAGTCGCGTAAACCCAAATCTAATTTTTGGAGTTTGGTTAAATTGGAAAAGATGTTAAGATTAGCAGCAATATCGTTTTCATAGGCCTTCACAACTTTCAAGTCTAGATTATTTCATAAATCGAGATTAGCGAGCACGTTTGAATTGCAATGCAATTCTTCCAAATTAGTGTTTTTGCTTACATTAAGACTGGTTAATCTGTTTCCGGTACAGTGTAATTTTTCTAAATTAACAAAACCACTTAAAGCTAAAGGACCTTCGAGGCATTGTCAAGTAATATCTAATGCTTCAATCTCTTCTCTTCTTTTTCCGAAATTATTAAATTCTTTACCTTTTTCTCGACTTTGATATCAATCGTTTTTTTGACATACCCCCTCCCGAGGGTAATTTTGGTCTAATCATTCTTGAGCGTTTGGCATAATATTTATTTATTATAATTTGCTATAATCAACTTTATAATGTTTGGTTAGAAAAAATTAACCAGTAAGGTCAAGTTTACGCTATTTATGCCGGATAAATAAAAAACTCCCTTGAATACTAGGAACTAGACAAATTATAGTAGACCTCAATTTCGCACTTTCTAATATAATTTAAATATCAACGTTTTTATGTTTCCAACCAAACCAACCCTAATTAAAAAAAAGTCCCGACCTTTGCATGGCAATAATCGTTCTTTTTCTATGCGGGCCACCAAACGGAAATTTGCCCCTAACCGGCAAAAATTTCGGATTGGAACCACAACTTATTGCCTTCCTACTAAATTGCTTCGTGCTTACTGGGCTAAGTTGAAAAAATCTCTTTAATTCTTATTCCGACCGTCTGCGGAATAACTAATTTATGTAATTTACCAACCACTTCGGCATTAGGCTCCAAAATTCATATTTTACGAATATGAGTTTTTCTTTCAAATTGTTCCTGGGAACTCTTGTGCTTATGGGGAGAAGTAATTAAAGATATTAATTTTCTTCTGGTAGGAAAAGGGATAGGACCAATATAATTTTTCTTGGGTTGTTTAATTTGTTGCATAATAGATTTGGTTGCTTCTTCCACCGTCCCCACATCATAGCCGAGAATAGTAATTTTTAGTTGGCTCTTTTCTGTCATACTAACTATATTATTTTACGCCTCAGAACTTTATTAATCCTACAAATCTTCTTACTCCCAACCTAAAAACAAAAGGCAATTTTTCTAAAATTACCCTAAAAAAAATCCTGCCCAATATGTCCTAATAAAAAAAGACAATAATGCTGTCCACCAAAAAAACCCTGACGGCTAATTCTACTTAAACTCCCAAATTTTAAGGGAGTTGGTTGACGAAATTACCCGCAGTTAATTTTGCTGTGGTGAATAATCAATAATAAACCCCAGCCTAGTTGTAATAGTAAAACTAAAAATAATACTACCCATCATGCCAAAAAGTGAAGAAGAAAAAATCCAAGAATGCTACGAAATTCTGGGAATAGACAAAACGGCTTCCAAAGAGGAAATTAAAAAGGCTTATCGGAAATTAGCCCAAGAATACCATACCGACAAAATCCTTAATTTCGCCAAAAAATCCGGAAAATGTCATGAAGAGGAAGGCGGCAAAAAGTGTGGTTCCTTAGAATATGACCGCAGATATCATTGTAGTGACGAGTGTCGGCAATTTTTCGCCGAACACGAGGAAAAATTTAAACAGGCCACAAGTGCTTATAAAATTATTTTATCTTGCTGGGAATGAAAAAATCCGGACCGTAGTTCTTCTTCCAGTAGCCACCCTAGTAAATCCTGAGAACAATGACAAGAAGAACTAAAAAGAACCAGACAGGTCGTAGCCGAGAACATTAAAGAACAATTAAACAGCACCGGAGTTTCTTTAGAAAAAATTGACGAGCAGGGTCAAAAAGATCTCTTCATTTTAAAAAAAGCCTGAAAATATTGCCAAGTCTGACCCCTAACCTCGTGAGAAGACCGACTAAATTTACTAACTGGTTATCGTGCTAATTATCAAGAAATACTTGCTTTTGGGGAAAGGTTTAAGATTTTTATTGATAATCTTGCCCGTTTTGGCACAACTTATAGTGAGTGGAAACCAGAATTTAAGGAGCCTGAGCCAAAGTATTCCTGACAATCACAAGAGAAAGAAAAACTTTATAACGACCCTTACTATAAATCTTTTTCCAGTCCAAAAAATTTTTTTTCTGATAATGAAAAAGGTCGGAAATTAAAAGCAGAGATGGGGGTTAAATTAGCAAAAATGTCCTGGGCCGAAGAAGAAAAACGCAAACAACTAGTAGCCCGAGTAGAGATAAGAAAAGAATTACTTGGTTGGGAAACATACGAACGCGATTGACGAATGGAACGCTCGAGCACAAGTCGCCAAATAGATAAAATTCTCTTTCCCAACTTCCCGCCCTCTCGCCAAGAAGGTTATTGAGAACCGTGGTGAAAAGTTCACATCTGACTGCTGCCTATCGAAGAAGTAGATAATTTTTTCTCCCAAGTTATGGCCGCCATTCCCGGAGCCTTGGAAAGGTTGAAAAAAAGCGAAGAAGAATTAAGCGAAACCGCTAGTCAAATTTCGCCGACTGTTCCAACCAGTTCCGTAGCAAGCCCCTTAA